GAAGCCGAAGAAACCCGCCGCCTGCTCTGGTCATATATTCAGAAGCAGGAAGAGACGGTGCGCGGGGTCGAGCATATGCTCAATTCCCTGAATAGATCTTGCCGCATGAAAGCTGATGTTCTGGAGTGGTGTAAGTCCGAGGGACATGTTGGTGAGATGAGTGATGGCGAGGACTGGTATGATCGTGAGCAGTTGGGGCTTGCTGAGGGGGAGGATTTGAAGAAGGGGACTGATGAGGACGAGGTTGAGACTGTTGATGAGAGCCGGACGCAGGCGAAGAGAGGGAGGGGAAGGCGGCAGTGAGAGGTGCCTGTTAGTAGTGCTGTTCTTCTTTGCTTCTTCTCTTTGGTCTTGGGCCTTCTGCTTGTCATGTCCTGGTTTCTTCCTTGTAATATGGCCCCTACATACTACCCTGTCTCTGTCTCTGTCTGTGTCTCTTTGGGCTCTTTGATTCATGTGGCGTCGGTATATACCCTCAGTTCTATAATAAACATGGTTTTTGGTTACTGTATGTGGGTTTAACAAAAAATCTTCAATTAATCCACGTAAAGAAATAACAACTGGAATGTCCATGGGCCATCCCAGTAGGGCACGCAAGTCCACTTGGAGAGGAAACAATGCGTGCATGGTGAGATTGTCCGCGTGCCATCTTGATTTTGCCTCTCGTCGCCTCGTCATTGGTATTCTTCTCGTTCTCCTCAATCTCGGAACCAGAATTCTAGGCTTGCTCCTTGGTCTGAGCCTCATCCTGCGTGCCTACGACAACCTTGAGGTAGTAACCACCACGCCTCTGCAGCTACAGACAATTTTGTATTTGAGCAACGGTGCGGCATTGATACCCACTGCCACAATTTCGGCGGGTATCTGTGTTTCTTCCCCTGGCATAGTCGAACAATGTCCTCTATGGGAGGGGGTTTCGGTTCGAGCTGTCAGATTGACGGTCAGGTTGACGGTCAAATTCCGACTCTGTCTTTCGGCGACTCAGTTTCTCGTCTTCCAGGACTTCCATAGCCAAGACTCGGTGCGCAACCCGTCAATGTCTTGTCTGGGTATGGCAAGTCGTGGTTATCACAGCCTCATCCGAGGGAGTCCATCTGTTCCAGGTATTCGGCTTAGATCTGCGCCTTCCACAGTGGTGTCAGTGGTCTACTGGTTCCTGCGGATGTCGACACGTCTTTGTCCAGGTGCATATGTTAGACAGGATTAGTTGAGTCTTCTCAGCATACGTATGTAGGTATACGGTGACACCATGGACCTGGCGAGTGCTTTTACATCCGAAGGTCCTTTGAATTCATCTACTACGGAAAGTAGATGCTGATCATGGCAGATGGTGTGCGAGGCTTGGATGCGCTTCCTCTGCTGTACTTGTTTTCATTTCCCAGTGGCACATTCACTCTCTTCTGTTTCACGGGGGTTTTTCTGGTTTCCTCTTTTCTTCTTGTTGTTCTGCCTCCTTGTCCTGCCCTTTTTTATTCTTTTCCGGGGCACACGGTAAGAATTCGATTGAGCCGGAGCCCGCGTCTTTTAAGACATCACCTGAACCTTGGAAGTGGTTTCTCAGTGCTCCCAGATTGCATGCTCCCATGATTCCACCATCCCTGTTTCTGAACTGAGGTCCATCGAGTGTTTTCTTCCAGGATGCCCTGCTATCTGGCCCAACAAGGCGAGTTTATCATGATTCTCACCAGTGGCTTAGGCTGGTTAATCCTAACCAATGCCCAGGATATCTGGCAATGATGGAAAAGTCCACACCGGGAATAAAAGACCGCACACTAGTTCCAATGTGCTAGCTTGCTTTTTATTCCACATGGCTGCTCCACATTGCCGACGTCGATTTGGGGTCATCACAGACGAATTCATAGCGCAGGGCAAACCCACCCAACCTGATCCTCGCCATGAAGTTCTTGCACTTCTGGGAAAATATCACTGGAGTCTCTTCTGTTAAGCAGGCGAGGTTCCTGAGCTTGTGGAGTTGTAGCCGACGTCGTGCTGAGATTATCACAGGCGAATCCAAAGCACAACGCAAACTACCCAGCATGACCTCCGCCGTGAAGAATTTTCCCTCCCACCTGAGAGTGGGGAAGACCAGCGAAGAGTATTGGTAGTTCCCGAGGAGCTTTATCACTCCAGGCTTTGTCAAGGGCGCGAAGCAGGTCGCGTATAGCGCATTTGACACGTTGAAACTCGGGTTAGGTTTCAATTGGTTCTTGATTGTCCATCTCAGTCAGTTTGTGCAAATTGATGACTGTAGCCATGGTTTGCTTCGTCAGAGTCGACTAGGTTGTTTTCGCTGGAGCTCAATAATATCTCAAGGGAGCTCTCATCAGTTCCTCACTTACCCATCACCTGAGAGCGGGTGCAAGTGCAAGGTTAAGCGACCATCCATCAGATAGTACTTATGCAATGGTAGTGAGAGGCAGAAAACTGCCAGTTGCACTGCTCTTTGCTTGGGTTCTGCTGAAGCTTGATGCTTGGGGTCTCAAGGTACTGACTCAGGTTGATGACCTGAGAGGTGAAGAGGAAAGTCGGGCGTACCTAAAAATATGGTCTCAAAAATTGGAAGGAACCTGATCTCTATTTGTATTTGATGAAGCTGGTACAATTAGAGGAGAAAATCGCAGTGCTCAAGTCTGTGTATGCGTGTCATACCGGACACCATTCCTTTGTGGTAGAGAAGGAGGCTGGCCTTAGGGGGACATTGCTTTGTAGTGCCATTTGAATAGTCTAATGTAAATTTTGTACCTGTATTTGTCCCATTTGAACATAAATTTAACTGTACATGTATAAGGCCTTTGGGGATTGGGCCTGTGGTCAAGCTGGCGACATGCCGCTTAGCACGAGAGTGACATGGCGTCGCTTACCATTGGACCTCCCCTTATATATATACCATCTCTCCCTCATAATTATTTTTTTTAGGTCGCCGTTCGTTCTGCGGCGGTTTTTTCTTTTCTCTCTTTTCTATTATTTACAAGTGAAGACACTGGGCTCCAGTTACACCCTGACAACTGACCCCATGACCTCTCAACAAGGGCACATGCCCTGGTGGATGCTTGTGTCCTCTTTGGCTCGGCCTAATAGATGGCCTTGATAAGAGAGCAGGGAGAGAAGTATTGATTCTCTACGAATAATGTAACTAACTAAATACTAGGGATTCCTAATGGCTTAGATTGTTGTCCAGTGGTCATCGCCTTGCTGCTCTACTATTCTCCATGGTAGAAGCATAGTGTATAGGAAGAGATAGAGATTATATTTGTAGAACGTTAGGACTTCCCCTTTATTTAATTGTCTGGACCATACTTTTGTCTGTTGTAGATGGATATCTCTCTCCCATTGCCCTAAAACAGTCAAACACTTCCAAAGTCCCTTGTACATCCTCCGCAATCACAAGTGAGCAACAAAGGTCTACTGATTCACAGTCGTACTGCAGTTTTGGCGCGATGGGTTGATTGAATTATATCTTTTGGAGTCGCGTAGGGAAATCACAGAGTCGGGCCTTGTCCTGTTTTACTCATCCCCAGTATCAAGGACAAGGCAAATATCTATCATCTACAGGTCCAGCATCGTTGAAGATTCGGATGCGTCCGTGTGCTGGAAACTTGTCATGGGAAGCCCCAGACTTTTGGGTGTCAAGTTGTCTCAGCAACCTGGCTTTTCTCTTGGCCTCTCTTTTGGTGTGCGGATTGTGGATGTTGAATGTCCAGGCCAATCCTGGTATAGATTCATGGCGCTTACTGCTTCTTGCCGCCTTGCTTCTTGGCACGCTCGCGCTCACGCTTGGCGTAGATCTCAGCAGTGAAGGGGCTAGAGACAGTCAGTGTAGTCCTAGGGATGCTTCAAAAATGACTACTTACTCTTCCCAGCCAAGAGCGAACCAGTACAAGACAAAGACCTGGGCAGTCAAAAGAATACCAGCAACCTTGCCCTGATAAAGTGCAACACCGAGGAAGTTCAAGGTGCTACCCCAGTACATCGGCGAGCCGGTCACGTTGAAAGGGAACCCAGTGACGGGAGCGTCCATGAGAATACCGAAGTAGTCGCCAAGGTAGGTACCGGTCACACCAAGAGCCCACATGCTGGAGAGAACCAGGACCGAACCGATAGCAAACAAGACACCTCCAACGATTGGTTGGTGGACAGGAGCGTAGAAGGGCTGGTCAGCTAGAGCAAGTTGGTAGAGATGGTCACGGAGAATGCCGAGGGAGAAGATGGTGAATGCAAGGAAGTAGCAGCCATTGTACGCGCCCCCGAAGAGGCGGGTTAAGAAGTGGTTGCGGTACTCTGTTCACCGGTTAGCCAAGGTCGAACGCAACAGTCCTCAAGTGGAGTCGGCGAACCTGCGCGGGCAACAATGCTAGAAAGCTCAGGTTAGCCATTTCTCATGGAAAAAAATCATTGCCATTGTAGTTTTATCGACCAGATGGACACTCACTTCCAGAAAATGGGGTTAAAAGCAATAGTCGCGGCGGACCCTGTTGGGGTCAATCACATGCAAATTGTTGAGATCCTATAAAGACCAACTCACATAGTAAAGGCTTAGAGGAAAAATCGACAAAATCTGTAAGAGAGGCCATGGCGTAAAAACCGTTGAACCAGGAAGAGTGAAGAGAAGAGAATACGAAAAAGGAAGAAGAAGAGGGGAAAGATGAAGTTGACCGTTGGGTGCTCCGGGGCCGGATTAACAGCTTAAGTAAACAAAAATGACGTCCACCTGCACCCGTCCAGGACGGGTTCCTCCCGCGGGACCGTGTCTTTCTCGACTCTCTGCTTAGCTTTTCTTTTGATGCTGCCTTTACATTTGAGATCCACGTCTCTATCTCGTCTGGCTCCTAGGGTTTTAACCACCAGGCATCAACTTCATTCCAGGGCGCTCTACAAATGAGAGCTTCCCCGCCAATCAGGCCAGGTAAACCGCGATCATAATACTATGCCGATCTGTTCGCTCCCAAGTTCCCGGGAGTGATCGTTATGAGCCGTGGAGCTCTGACACGAGAGTGGGGAGAATGGCCCTTAGTCACCGCGACCTAGTTTTGGCGGGCGTCGGCGTATTCATCGCTTGGGGTCTTGCGGTTCGCTGGCTGCCGATCCTCCGGTATCTAGGATATGCCGTGGCGCTGGGCGTCGTCCTATCTTCTGTTAGTATTTTAGGACTTATCACATTGACAATCCGGCACCAGAATGACAAAGTCAACGCCAAGAACGTTTCAGTGGCTTTCATAAGACCCAACCAATGGCGAAAGGAAGTGCTGAATGTTCGCCGGAGTACGCGATACCGGCCCCGACCACTCTATCCTCAGTCCTTTGTCGTATCGGAAGGGATCGACGAACTTCTATCTTTCGTCACCCGAGACTTTGTTTCTTCATGGTATCGCAGTATCAGTCCGAACCCCATATTTGTCAATGAGGTTGATCGAACGATTCGTGTCGCCCTTGAAAACCTCCGGGATAGGTTAGTTGCGGAGGACATGGTCTCGCTGATCGTATCGCGCATCTTCCCTATTGTGACATCGCACCTCAAGGAATTTGACATTGCCGAGCGCTCTGTTCGGGGGCGCAATCTCAATCGAAATGTAACCGAGTCTGGAGAGCTTGATCTGGCCATTGCAAATAAATACCGTGATGGTCGCTTACATCCTGCTGTTGCAACCTCTGTGTCCGATCAAAAGGCTGTTCAACAGGAGTACCTGCGCAAGCTAGCGGTTGGCCTTTTACCCCAGCTATTCCCGGAAACTGTGCTAAACAGTCGAATTGTGTCGGTTCTGATTCGCGAAATCATCTCATGCGCCGTGCTTGTTCCGATAGTCACTGCATTATCAGACCCAGACACATGGAACCAATTAATGGAAGCATATGGCCGTACAGCTTTGCAGGATCGGAAGACTGTACGCAAACTGCGCGCCGCATTGGACCAACATGCGTCACCTACACCTAAATCCAAGCGTGGGCAACCATTCCCACGACTGTCAGCAAATGATTCAGAGCGAGCCTTCGAGCGCTTTGTGAGGGCAATCAGGAAATGTAATAACCTCTCCGATGCCCGTCGGTTTCGTGCGCTCGTTTCCAGTCAATTGAAGCAAGAGAGTGTGGTCGAGGGCCAGGACCAGGTCTATCTGAAGCGTTTGGAAACCGGAAAACGTGTTCTTGATCAGAAAGTGGCGAAACTCGCGAAGCCTGGCAAGGACTCCCATGTACCTCCAGCACTAGACCTTCGACCTGAGATCCCATCTAGAACGCAAGAATCGTCACTGGTTGACGTGATGCACAGCGCATCTGGGCTCTCTTATTTCATGGAGTTTATGGACCGCCAAAAGCTGATGTCGCTTGTTCAGTTCTGGGTTGTTGTAGATGGATTCCGCAACCCGCTTGAAGATGACTTTGGAGATGAGGCAGTGCCTACTTCATTAGCATGGAAGCCAGCAGACCGAAATGACCTAGCTCTGATCAGTGAAACCTACCTCTCAAAGCCAGAACTGAAGGTCTCTGAAGAGTCTCGCCGGGCAGTCAAAACATTTCTGAGTGCAGGGAAGCGTGCCACCCCGGAACAATACCGAAAAGCGCGAATGGTGGTTTTAACGACCCAGTCTGCCATTCTAGAGCAACTCCAAGATACTTATTATCCGAAGTTCAAGGAGTCTGATCTATATTGGAAGTATCTTGCGTCTGATGAAACATCCGCTGCCCAGGCGCCAGTTCGTCAACCCTCCCCCATAGCAGTCACTTTCGAAGCTCCCGAGAGGCGACCTCTCCCCCCTTTATTGTCACGAACCAGCTCCCAGCCGGGATTGAGACCATCCAAAGACCTTCGACGAGCCGCTGTCTCGTCTGGTGATGTGCGGGGCATGGGAAAATTATTTGATGATGACGATTCACCACGACGATCAATAGATTCAGAACGATCTGCTCATCTTTTTGATGACGACTACGACACCGACAATCTCGCCATGTCCACCCATAGTTTGGGCAAGGATTCCCAGAATGGCGAGAATGATGCTAGCCAGAGCCAAAGCCAAGTCCTCAAGACGATGGAGGCGGCGCTCAATGATATCATTACCAATGAGCCGAAAAATGCAAGAATCGAAGACCTCAAAGAAGATGCTGCCGGTCTGTTCGGGCCGGAGCGTCCTGTTCTTTCGTCGCGCAGCTCGTCCGAAATTCCCCAGGTTGATAACCGGAATGAAAGGACTAAGAAAAGCATCGCATCGCTTGGTCTGGTGGATCATGCGTCCCGACTTGGTGTGTTTGATGACGACTTATTTCCGGATCAACAGAAATTCATCGAAGATGAATACGAAGAACCAGATGGCGTGGATGAAAAAGACTCAGCAGATGAGGTGCACGAAGCTGCACCGGGTGACTTAGGTCTGACAGAAGCGATTGAGGCCCTCTCGGTGGATATCGACAAGCTTGCGGCCCAGGACGCTGTGGTCCAAGCATTGACACGTAAAGCCGAACTGACAAACAATACCGCGGAGTTGAGAATCCTGCGCAAGTCCAAGGCCAGCATCCAGCGCGAAATGCATCGCAAGGAAATGCAGCGGCAACAGTACATTCTCCAGGAAAGCGATAACAGCTTGTTTGGGCGATCGACCGTTAGCATCAAGTCTATTGCCGTAGGCAAAGAGGAGGATGATGGCCGCGAATTCGCTATGTGTAAGAGAAGTTCCTAATGTGCCGTTCATTCCAAGCTAACTAGTCGATTTAGACGTCGTGGAGGTCCAAAGAAACGCGGGCGAGCAAATGCCTGCCGCATCGTGGGTCGTTGCACGACGATACAGCGAGTTCCATGATCTGCATCAAAAGCTACGCCAACGCTACCCCTCCGTCCGGCACTTGGAATTCCCCCGGCGACGCGTCGTTATGAAGCTACAGAAAGAGTTCCTTCACAAACGGCGACTCGCTCTCGAAGCCTATTTGCAGAGACTCCTCCTCCTGCCAGATGTCTGCCGCAGCCGCGATCTACGTGCATTCCTCTCCCAGCGTGCCATCCTGCCCCGCAAGGAAAATGCCCGTGACAATGAAGGTGAAACCAAAGACCTTGTCACACGCATCTACAACTCCGTCGCAGACGGCATGGATGACTTCCTCGGCAACTTCGGCGTCCTAGACCAACTATCTACCGCAGGACAGAACCTCATATCAGCCGCCACCCAGCAAGCCAGCAGCACGATAGTCCCAGAGTCCAGCCTCGCAAGCGAAGACGCCGTCACAGCCGCCGAAGCCGAAGCGGAACTAAACGCCTTCGAAGACCGCGAGCTCGAGCCATTCATCAAGCCCATCTGCGATCTCTTCCTCGAAGCCTTCGAGCTGAACCGCGGCAACAACTGGCTGCGCGGCCGAGCTGTCGTTGTTGTCTTGCACCAGCTCCTCGGCGGGACAATAGAGCGCAAGGTCCGCGACGGAGCGCGTGGGCTGGTACAGGATGACTCGCTTCTCAAATACCTCGCTCTCGCTCGCGATACCCTCTGGCCCGGGGGCGTACTCCGAAAAGCACCTCCTCGTTCGGCTGCAGACCGTCTCCATAGTCGTGCCGAGGCCACTGTGGTCTTGGCTACTCTCATCCCGGATCTGGCGGGTAATGTCGTCGGCCGAGCTAATGCGCAGGCTGCTGCCCGTCGCATTTTTGCTACGCTGAATAATCAGCATCTTAATACCCATCTCGTCTTGACGATTCTTGACGAGATCGTCTTGGTTCTCTTTGGGAGTTCGGGTCGTTCTCGGTGAGAAATGAGCTCTTATTCTTCCTCATTACAACCACTGTATATACTCGATTACATCCATCTCTACATAATATCAAATGTTTTCCACGCATCTAACACATCCAAAAAACGAAATTATCCCGCCAAGATAAAATCATCACGTGTACATGTGATGAGGCTCAATTGTGCCCAAGGCAATAAACAGTCCCCTAAAGCCTCCCAGGCTGAGTTTCAACAACTCGTCTCCTCCTTAACCCCAATGGCCCCTTCCCCAACCCCAGCCCAATCCCAGGCTCTCTCCATCCCCGAAATCTTCGAACTAATCCTCCTCAACCTGGACACCCGCACCCTCCTGACTAAAGCAACCCGAATCTGCCACACCTGGTCTCATTTCATGAACTCCTCCCCGCGCATCCAATGGGCCCTATTCTTCCGACCCCTCGACAATGCATTGAATAAACCAAAGACCCAGAACCCACTACTAGCAGAAACATTCCCGTCAATCTTCAACCAGTCCGAGTGTACCAATAAAAGGAATGATACCGATACCGATACTACAAATGAAAGAGCTACCTCCAATCTCACATTCACCACCTTCGACATGGTCAGGAACCCGCACAAATGGGACGCATACATCAGACGAGAAGCCAGCTGGCGCCGTATGCTGATCCAGCAACCGCCCGTGTATACGCTGTCGCTGCTAAGGAGTAATGTCGGGCATGGCGGGCAGTATTTGTATATTTATGAGGCGTTGGTGAGTGTAACTCCGCTTATTTACATAATATATACACATAGTTACCTATATCTGCATAATGAGTTTTCTATTTGTTTACATACATCCATATATCATATGCCTCCTGCAAGAACCCTAGCTGACATTTGTAATCCCACCCCCAGAAGGACGACCAAAAGGAACCAGCCGGTGGCCTGCGAATGGATATCGTCTTTGAAGCACTCGTCTTCGCCGACAGGTGGGATCAAGATGAATACTCCGCGACAGAGATGGTCTGGGGACAGGAATTTCTCCCAAAACAGGTTCGAGGGGATTTGGAGCTCTTTGGAGTCCGGGATGTGGATTTGGTGTTTTATACTCGTCTGGGAGAGATGTTTAGGGGTCTGAGTCATCGTAACTCGAGTCTGGAATGTGATGTTGTGAAGAACATCAAAGCGGCGTACACTAGGTTGGGGATGAAGCCGAAGTACTCGGATGAGGCTTTTTCAAGGGGGCGGAAGTCTTGGGGTTCGCTTTGGGATTAGGATCTGTGTAGGACATACATATTTTGTCTTCTCATGGATCTATAGTATGCCCATGTACAGTATATGAAGTTGTAAGGTATAGCTTGGCAAGTCCACCTGGACTTCAATTGTCCCGGCTTGAATTCCTACATATCTCCCATACAACATCTACATTGGAAAAATATAGCCGGGAATTACTTGATTCAATCTCCACTAGGCCTCAAAAGGAGTGAACGGCATATACCGGTCCACCCAGGGTAGATACATGCATAAGCCGGGCCAGACAGAAACGACAGATAAAGACAAATAAGATAGAGATAAAATCAAAATACGAGATCTCCCTCGCGCCCTCCTAATTCTTGTTTCTACATTGGAAACGCAGTGAACACAGAGCAGCCGAACGGGACTGTGGAAAAGCAGAACATACAAAGTCAAATCGCGTATCGCAGATTGAGGGGAGTCAATAGTCCCCGGTAAGAACATCCATTATGATGATTGGTAAGTGAAGGGATAAAAGGCAGAAGGAATTGGAGAGGGCATCCGGAGACACTTGTCTGTGTTCATGCTCATGTCATGAACCACCCGGTTCGATGGAACAATGCCAATCTATGCCTCTTCCTTGGACTTCTTCTTGGACTTTTTGCTTGGCTGTGGTGCACCCTCCTTCTTCTGGTGCACGATCAACCGGGTCCAGCACTCTTCCTTGTCCCACTCGAAACCAGCGAGGTAGGGTTTGTCAAGTTCGTCATCCGCCTAGCCGGGTCACGTCAGTCATCATGGACTCTCTGTGGTCTATACTGCAGAACCACTGACCTTCTTCTTGAACTGCTTGTAGATAGCATCTAATGCGTCCTTGACTGTGACGCCCTTGAGGTTCCGAGCGGTGACCTCTAGGCCAAGGGGGAAGTGTAGGTCAATCTTCTTGACCGGTGGAGTGACGAGGAACATTTTGAGGATATCCTTGTCCTCGATTGTTGAGGGGGAGGTGTTGAGTTTCCTGGGTAAAGGTTAGTGAGACTGATCTATTTGTGAGGAAGTAAGATGAGATGCTGACCATCCAGTCTTCTGTGTTTCAATTGGTAGGGTAATGTCCATCTTTTGCTCCTCTAAAAGCACTATCAGTATAGCCTCCCCCATTGAGATTAGATGAGTACGTTACCAAGGTCCTTGATGTTCCAGATACCTTCTGCCGTTGAGGAGGTCCGCCTGTGGGTCTTTGTCTTGACCTCCTTCTCAATGGTCTCAGGTTTCTCATCGGATATGGACAAGCCAGCGATGGCAGAATCAACTTTGGTTAAAGGAACAGACATGGTTGCAGAGTGTATCTGATCAAGTTAGAGATGGAAAGGGTCAATATGGGATGATGAATATACTCTCAGATGAATCAGGAGATGAATCAAAGATCAGGAGATGGAAGAGAAGAAGGAGCGAAGAGAGGGGAAGCAGGGCAGGTGACCAAGGTTGTGTGAGAGGGGGTGCAGCCCTTAGAGTGTCATGGATGTGTGACTTCCGTTTACATGGTGTTTGTCTATGATAAGGAGGTACCTTGTGGTTTCACCATTCAACTTACCATCAATCTATTATTCTATTATTCCATAACCTTTTAACTATACCTAGGTACTGTTAACTATCCTGTTAACTATGTATGCTACTATACTCCTACATCATCACCATACTATTCTACATATAACCGGCCTCCCCCGGATCCCAACTGACATCAACATTGTCAATCTTAGCCAATCTTAGCGCTGCACCCCGCATTTGCTCCACTTTATTTAGGGCAGATCACTCTTATATTAGCATGTTAGCACTATTATTATATATACATATGTAGTTAGGTGATTATTATATATTTTATATTAGTACTTATGCTATAACGTATGACTATCACCTGATCTGATCATACCACCTCCCTCCATCTAACTGACCACTCTTATTATGCATTCTCGTATTTATGCTCAATACCCAGACTCAATGCTCAAATTTTACAAGGGTTATTGCTCTTAATGGCATTTCTTCCTTTAGGGCGTTATTGATTATGTACCATTACCTCATCATACCCTCGCCGGGTTTAATGTATTTGGGGTATCCTAGTGACCTCAAATACCCCCTATATACTGTGGATTTGCAAACTAAACCAAAATATTTGACTTTGATGCCTCAGGATATTGCCCAGGTGAGCCAGTTATTACATCATCCAAGCTCAACCCGTGGACAATCTCTCTAGTTAGTCAGATATAAAGATATACCTAGGTAGTGATGCCGAGAAAGGATCGTCGTTGAGTATATTTTAGCTTGACAACTCTCTCTGAATGCCGCAAATATGACCATTGAGTAAAGCCACATCCACTAAGATGGTCTATCAAAATTATTTCCAACGGATAACTGCAGTCCGGCAATGCTGCCTCGATAGTCGTGAGTCATGGCATCTATAGCTAGCTAGGTATGGCTATAGTTCTGCCAATAAAATGAGCATGCATATAAATATCAGCATGCCAAAGTAATTTAAATCAAAATACAAAGGTCAAAGATAATAAAAGAAGAACACTCGACTGAAGTATGAAATCCACAGATATGAAGGCGGTGAGATATATTTTCTGCCGGCATCGCGATCGCTTTCTGTCCAGCTACAATTATCATCGACTTCTCGTCTCTTCCTTTCTCCGTTGAGCTCGACTTTCTTTCTCTTCTGCATGACTCCTCAGCTGTGAATCCAGCTTTGCCTTTGTTTTCTGTTCACATCCTTTGATCCCCACTCGATACCCTTTACCGTATTACACCTCTCGCGCCCTTTCCAATGTCACTTTTCGGCGCCGGCGCGTCGTCGGCCTCGGCGGGCCAGACTAACACCACCGGCGACATTTCCAAGGACGTCGCCCTCAACACTCCCCCCGAGGATGGCATCTCGGATCTCCGCTTCTCGCCTACCAGCGAACACCTAGCCGTGGCCTCGTGGGATAAGAAAGTCCGCATCTACGAAATCAACGACCAGGGACAAAGTGAAGGGAAAGCACTCTTTGAGCACGAAGCTCCAGTTCTGAACTGCTGCTGGTCTCCAGTAAGCTCGCACCCATTCTCACCACCCCCCACATACTTCCCCCCCCGCAACCCAAGTCCCATGCACAGAAACTAACATCTTTTCTTTCCCCCCTCTTACAGGATGGAACCAAGGTTGTTGGTGCTGGTGCCGACAAGGCAGCCCGCATGATCGATCTCAGCACAGGCACGACAAGCCAAGTTGCCGCCCACGACGCCCCCATTCGAAGCTGCCATATGATCCCCAATCCTTCTGTGGGCGGAAATCCACTCCTGATCACCGGCTCGTGGGACAAGACCGTTAAATACTGGGATCTGCGCCAGGCTACCCCAATCGCATCCGTCGAGTGCCAGGAGCGTGTCTACACCATGGACGTTAAGAACAAGCTGCTCGTCGTCGGCACTGCAGACCGCTACATCAATATCATCAACCTCGACCAGCCAACCAAGTTCTACAAGACCATGCAATCACCCCTCAAGTGGCAGACGCGGGTAGTCAGCTGCTTCTCAGATGCCTCGGGTTTTGCTGTCGGCTCGGTTGAGGGTCGCTGCGCTATTCAGTACGTCGAGGAGAAGGATTCCGCCTCGAACTTCTCCTTCAAGTGCCACCGTGAAACCCCGCCTGCAAACCGCGATGTCTGCAATATCTACTCCGTTAACGCTATCTCTTTCCACCCCATTCATGGTACCTTCAGCACTGCAGGTGCCGACGGTACTTTCCACTTCTGGGATAAGGACGCGAAGCACCGTCTCAAGGGTTACCCCGCTGTCGGAGGCCCTATCACTACCACCGCTTTCAACCGTACTGGAAATATCTTCGCCTACTCTGTCAGCTACGACTGGAGCAAGGGTTACTCCGCCAATACCCAGCAGACTGTCAACAAAGTCATGTTGCACCCCATCGGACCGGATGAGACAAAGCCCAGGCCTAACACGCGCAAGCGTTAACTCGGAGCTGAGCTTTTTTTTTCTTTTTTGCGTGGGATGGAGGGATTTTTTTTTCGCCAACCGCTTTCGTGACCCATCGCTACAACGAGCATGTAATGAAACTTTTACCATATCGGCGTGTTTTGATTAAGTGCAATGGATTTTTTTGGCTAGCCTAGCTATTTTCTTGGAAGGTTCTGCTAGGAGCTTGGAGGTGTAGTTCTAGAATTGTGACACAGTTCGCTGTTGATATAGATTGTAGAGCTGAGCAGGGACAAGTAGACGGGACATGTATCAAGACGTACTCTCCTGTCAGGCCATCAAAAACCAAACACCTTCATTGCATCCATGCGATGATGCCTATAAAAAGGAAGAATTCCTCAAGCCAGTTCAATATGCCCAGAAGATGATCCCCGTTCACCCATGCACAACATCTCTCATAGAGAATCATAAAAAGAAAGCCCCCACAACGCGCCTTGCATGTATTTTCTTATTTTCTCGTCTAGATCACCCTGTTGAAGTCATGATAATCTACGAGGTAGGCAGGGTAACCTGCGCGACCCCATCAGCGATCTTCTCAACAGCCTCATCATTCTTGCCCTCAGTGGTAACGGAGACCTTCTCTGCACCACCTTTAGCAGACCCCTCAACACCACCTTCGAGAGCACCAGCACGGCCCTTCTCCTTCTTCTCCTTCTTCTTAGCCTTAGCAGCAGCCTTCTTCGCAGCCAGCTTGGCAGCCTCCTCCTCCTTCTTCTTCCGGTCGGCCTGCGACCCACCAAACATCTCACGCCACTCATCCGCCTTCTTGGGATCAATACGGGAGAACAGGTAAGCTGCCTTGCCGATATTGTGGCCCGCCTTCAGCGAAGTAGGCTCCCAGCGGGACTGGAGCTCTTCCACACTGGGGAGGTACAGGAAGGGTGCGTTCAACTGCTCCAGAATCGACTTAGAGGTTGCTGGCATGTACGGCGAGAATACGCTGGAGAGCAGGTGGATCAGGTTAAGCACTGTCCCGACGACGGCAGCGGCACGCTCGGGCTCGTTCGCAATTAGCG